CATCGTGAACATAGGCCTTTGTGGCTCCTATCTAGCAGACCAGCGCGACAACGCAACGCGCGATAATCCAATGGGCGTACAGGCTTTACGGGAAAACTGTGCACTATCACATAAAACCTGTACGCTCATTGGATAGTCGCGTGTCACGTTGGCCTGCAAGAGCCACTATACGAGTTCCAAAGGGAGCAATGTGTAGAATTTTTCAATGAGTTACAACTTTTCTAGAAGTACGTCTTATCGGTAAGAAGCCTTTCCGTTTAATATTAATATATTATCTCGTCGATAACAGAAAGTGATCTCGTTAAGGAATGTATATTTTTTAATAGACGATCTATCCTAGTAAAACAAAGAGCCAACAATAAGACACGTTAAAGAGGGTGGCAGTATTAATGTCGCAGAAAAATAGTTTGCGGAATAAATCTATTTAATTATTTAACATTACATGTACATCTTTTTCTATTTGTAATTAAATATAATCACAAACGAAAGGGTATGTACGCGCTATTTCGAGGAAAAACAATATCGGACTTGTATGCCTATGCAGTACGCTTATCTCTAAAAATGCCAAGGATAACAATGTTATCTCATCAGCTAGCACCATTCATTATTAATAGAAATCAAACCGTAAATGTGTGTTCTCGGCTCGTTACGGGAATACATAAAAATTCCACGAAAATTTAACTAAACGATCGAATAAATAGATAAAGGTACTTCATCATTAGAGAAGAATAAAAAAAATGGTGTTTTATATTACTTTCGTTTGACTATTTTTCGTATTTAATTGCAGTAACAAGATCCCGCCGGGTTCTACATTGCTTTGCGCACTGTGACTACCAAAATACTAACTTTTACTAAAAAATATTCCACATGCTTTAGGCTTTATTGCGTTAATTACCTTTGCATTGAGAAGTGCTATATACTTGACTACTCACAATCCGAAATTATGCCAAGATACATATTCCGAACGAGAAATGCTTAGGCGAAATCAGAGCGTGCACATGGTTTAATGTCCCTCCCTCTTGCACTTATTTTCATGATCTTTTTCAACATTTGTTATACAACTATATATTTTTTTTTGGTTTACACAGATCTCAATTAAAACGATAGAAAAATAGATTATACATCTCCAATTCTAAACATCGACCTTACTTGTATAATTAATCAATAATTAACGTATCAACTACAGGTAATATATTCAAACAATCTTAATATTTAAATATCTGAAAGATGAATAGTACATTCCGTATTTGCCAAAAGATCAAAATGCATACAGTAGCATCGTTTTGATGTATTGCGGGGACACTATTATAAGATTTGCGTATCTCTTAAGTGTTGAATTTACCAAATCTTATTATTCAGTGAAACCATCATCTATAGAAATTATGAAAGAATCTTGGGTTAACTCCTTTGGCATGGCCACAGATCACCTCTTTAAATCAAGTCTGCTTTAAACGATCACAAGATATATTAATTGACAAAATCCGGCATACTTCATACATGATTTATATAATTTATCTGATATTCAGTCAAGCAAGTACCAGGAATGTCATTATACGCGAATGATATTACGTGTAAAAGATAAGCTCGGGTATTTGACCTTCGTCGGTAGATGTGCCATTATTATCTCCCAACTCGCTGCTAAATTTGAATTTCACCTTCCCGTTTCCCGAATCACAATCCACCAGCACGGTCTTCATTCCTTTTGTGCCATAATATGAGTATGGCCCCTGAAAAAGAGATATATAATATTTCTCACAAATCCCATACTGTGCACAGATATTAAAGCAGCAAGTGTACAACGTGACACAACCTTGAAAGTTGCTGATGCCGTATAAATCGTATTTGGTAAGATTTCCGCTAACTCTTTAAACATTAGACGGTATGTGTACTTTGATCCATCACAGCTGAAACTTGTTGCATTTGTAGCTATCACTTTTCCCGACGCAGTGTGAATTAATTCGACTGTCACCTCATATATCGCTGGCTCTTGCGTGCTACCGTAAACTCCATAGCCAAGCAGAAAGATACGTCTGTCCACGCTAAATCTGCAAGTATCAAAATGCCCCATTGCACTCGTCATTTCCAACGTTTAACCATGTTATTGCGGATTATAAATTTTTTACCGTATGCGATCGCTAGTTCCAAAATATCCCCATCTACTCTTTGTATGTTGAAACCTGCATACAGTCTGCTCCTTGCCTGTCATACAACACCGCGGCATCGTTTGAAACCCCACCGAAGGCTTGGGATTCAGTATAAAATATGAGAATAAAGATAAGACCTGTAACATTTAATTGTAAACGTTTCATCTTACAAAGATGTAACAATTAGCATGACGTAAGGTACAAATCGAAAGAATGTTGCGACACTAGCCTCTGAATAATTTAACAGTCCAGACTGCGCTGGACCCGCTGTAAACTCCTCCTTAGACATAAGGGGAAAACGAACCAAAGACAAAGCATCGCCCAAGACCAGACGTTGATTTTCCGGACTGACTGGTAACTGCTGCCTTACACACTCGGCTTCTGACCACCTACTCAGAAATGTGAGCATTACAGAATGAACGGTACACGTTCCACAGCGTCGGAGCGTACCTTAGAACAGCTTGGAACAGTTTAGATTCCCTAACGCGAAGAGTATCTCTCTCTAAGACTATCATCAATGTATCAATATCAATATCCGTGAATCCATCTGCATTGAAGGCCTCAGTCGTGAATCTGTCTATGGTGTCCAAGCATACCGAGGCTAACTGCGGCTCGTCAAACAAGCGGGCTTGCGTCAACAGCAAGAAAGCGTTATCACTCGTCAAGTTATTCTTTAAAAAATCAACGCAATGCTTCTCTAAAGCGGCCACCGCGTACTTCTTGGCGGTGTACAGCGTCGTCATCACAGTTTCAGGATCTATCTGTATCTCATCAGTGTATAGAAAAAGGAGCACCGCCAAAAACGCGGCGGGCTCGACATCAGGTACTTCTATTTCCGAAGAAGCTGTCGCAAGCGTTCCGTTAAACATCGCGTCGAATACGGCACTTCCAGAGGACAGGACTAGTTTGTGGGCCGGTATGCGCTGCTGCTGCGCCCCTCGCCCCACCAGAAAGGTCACGTCTGATAGTATCTCATTGTTAAAGAGGAATACAATCCTCTCGCGCATCGTCGCCTTTGTACCTTGCCAGTTGTACATGACCGCCGGCTGATTCTGCGTGGTGGAGTTCTCCAGAGTGGCGTTATTCTGCGCTCGTCCTTCCAAATACGATGTATTCGCCGCATTAATGGGTGGCCGGCTGAAAGTACCAACAAGACTACGTCAAATAACAAGTGCTAACCATCTCGCCGAAGATCATGTTGATACTCGGGGGGGAAAGAAAATTCGGACGAGCGATTCTCTGATGCAATATGTTATTTTGTAACGAATCGGCAGCTTGTACAAGCGCGCACTGAGACTAGTTTTCGATTCTTATATTCAAGGATCGTCTTAAACACTTTTTGACATACTTCTTGGCCAGTCAAATGTATAACATTCGTATCATAGTTTCTGGATGTGTACTTGAGGTGACCATAAATATAACACCCTGTCCACAACGAGCTGTTAGTCAGAAGTCGGAACTACATGTCGATCCTTTTCCTCCCTGGGTGACAGACCAGGCCTAAGGGCAGACTCCGAACAGGCCTACTCGTGCAAGCTGCCGAATTCGCTATTAATTACTCTCCGCGCGCGGCACTCGGGCATTCATCGAGGTGAGATCGCTTACTTGTCGCTGTTGGCGAACGAGGCCTCGCTGCGCGCGGCGGACGACGAGCTCTGCGGCTGGTCCTCGTCACCGACGAAGTTGAGCGCGCGCCGCGCCCGGGAGAGGGTGATGTTCCGCAGCGGTTCCCGCAACGGCGACGCCCCGCCGCCGCTGCTGCCGTTGCCGCTGTCGGCCACGCTGGCCGCCGCCGTCGAGCCGCCAGCCGCCGCGTTCTCGGCCGCGTCGCGCTCGTCCTCGGCGTGCGCCGCCAGCCGCAGGCTCAGCAGCCGCGACGCGACGTTCGACACGTCGCTCAGGGCGGCCTCCGTAGACATGTTCGCGCACCAGACGTAGTACCTGACCAAGTACTGCCCCGTCTCATTTAATCGCGTCGCCTCGCGCCAACGCGAGCGGCGGGCGGGCGCGGTTTCACCTTATGCCCCCCGGCGGCAGCCGCGACCGCGGGATCCTCTGCTCTCCGGGCGCGCCGGGTTCTCGCCGAGATGCGCGAAGACGCCGAGCGGCATACGACGCGGTTACAGCGACATCCTGCCTGGCGCCTAGCGCGCTCTCCTCACCCGCGCGACACCCGTTCCCCCGCGACCCGCGTCCGTTCGCTCCCCGGGTGGCACGCGTGGGACGACCGAGAGGGGGGAGGGATAGAGATACCCGCACCGAACCGCGCCTAGGATACCACGTTATAATCGGTAATTAGACCAGGGTAATTAGCTGCTCAGTCTATCGTACTTCCTACAGCGACGCATCTCTCGTACCGTCTTTAACAGTCATCGCGATATTTCGAAAATCTAATTTTTATACATCGAGTCCCTGCTCCTTTTCGAGTTGCACTCTCCGCACCCGTTTCTACACTCTCGCACCGAGGTGCACTTTCGACCTTCGAGATGCAATCGAGCTGGTCGCAGCGGGGGAGCCAATCAACGCCCCGCTCTCGTGATACTTCGAGAATCGCAATATCGCAATATCGCTCGGCGTCGGTTAGCAATGGAGGGGCGTCGCGGCGGGCAACGAAATTCGTGTCCTTCTATTTGCCGCGATTTTCGCGATACGAAAGGGACTCTCGCGCACGAAGAGCCGCCACAAGGTATCTCGCAAGGCGTCGGGCGCGACGTGAGTATAAATCGTTACACACGCGGACTCTGGGAGTTCGGCATATCGACCGCCTCCGCGCGCCCGGGCGCCAAGACCTCCATTGACCTTTGCCTCTCGGATCATCGGGTCAACTCGACTCAAAGGCCCGCACAGCGCAGAAGCCCTAGACGCGCGCCCGATAGAAAATCTGCCGCTAGATATTGTTTTTTCATCAATAATGCGAATGCGCGACAAATTCGTCAAGTAAATTCCGTGCAATTGTAGCGTCGCCGGCCGCCACAGGATGGCGTCAGTTGGCCGCGTACGCGCGAAATAATTTTCATGAGATTTTTACCTCCAGACGAGGGTATCGGGGCATCTGGGGCTTCATCAGTAAGATTGTCGTAACCGCTTACGATTCCGTCGTGAGACGTAAGTCGGTGTCGAAAGTCAACGCGCAAAGAATTGTAGACGTATGTCGCATCCCTCGCATTACGTCGCGAGGCGGCATACGACAGTGCTTTGTGCGTTGACCTCCGACACTGGCTTACGTCCTGTTACGGACCTTACGCGATACGTCGTTCGTCGCGGTCGGGTGTCGGGACGTAACCGATTGCTTTTTTGAAAAGAGATGCTCTTATTGGACCAACGGCTACGTCCCGACATCTGACAGCGACAAACGACGTACTGTACAACAGGCTTAGGCCTGTTATACAATACGTTGTATGTCGCTGTCGGATGTCGGGACGTAGCCGATGGTCTAATGAGAAAATTTGTTTTTTGGAAAAGGAATTTTCTGATTGAACCATCGACCACGTCCCGACATCCGACAGCGACATACGACGTATTGTGTAACAGGCCTTAATGAACCATTGTCGCTGTCGGATGTCGGGACGTAGCCGACGGTTCAATGAGAAAATTCCTTTTTACTTCAAATTACTACACTGGCAAAAAAAAAATTTTTAAACTAAAGTAAATAGATTGACTCAAAATTTTTTTTATACGAAATATTTATTCTATTTAGAGGAAAATATCAAATATCAAAGATATTTTTTCATCAGTGTAAGAATATCGCGAAGAAAATGGGAGTGTAGTATCGAGAGTTACGTAAAAACTATCAGTGGCAGACTTTGATAAAAATCGAGGCCTTCTTTAATTTATAAATTCTCTTTTTTAGTATACGAGGCGCGCGTCTGTTGCACCTGATAGACAACCTGCGACTGTGCCAACATTTCTCGCCGACATTCATCGAAAACAACGTCTTCTCGTCTTCTACACAGGTGCGTGCTCGACAAAAAAAATTGATTAAAAATTTATTTCTATATACCTCGATTTTCTTTTACTCGAAAGGAGTCGTACGTTGTAGAAAGAAAGTAACGCTATCGAGTATCAGATTTTATAACAAGTGTATTAATGACGTTTATGTACAATGTTTACACGGCGATACAGAAAACATGTCCGCATGTTTACGGCGTTACGTATAATACAACAGATATTATCTCGGGAGATATTATCTCATTAAAAAAGTTAATACGTCATTATTAATACGGCAGTTACAGCGAAGAAGTATGTGTCAAAAGTAATTAAAAAATGAAGCATATTAATGTTATAAAACGTACGTAGACACTGTGACATAAAATAGCAAATTCCTTATTTCCCGCGGAAATATGTACAGCTGTGCGTTAAAGATTTCGCGGAATTAACGCGCTAACGTAGTTATTTTGCGAGTACAAGTAAATTAAAAGTACAACTCTCTACAAATTCGCATTGCACATCGCAGTAATGCAACGATCGAGCAAACCTATAATCGCGCGGTGTACGAAATTGAGGCCGGTGTTCATAGTCGGATCTTACGTTCAAGACCGTCTTGAATTTGTCTAAAGATGCTATACGGAATCATTGGCTACGAAGTATCTAAAGATTATCTTGAGACAGTCTTGAATATAAGATCAAACTGTGAATACCGGCCTAAGAGTAGAAGAGTGAAGGAAATATTTTTTAATCGTTAATGTAACATATTTTTCACTTATACGCATCGTCTCGAGGTGCAATGGAAATTCGCGCAGTGAAAAGAGACTTAATCTAACGGTTTTATATAAGTATTTTTCCGCATTTCTTACGATAGTCAGATTTATTAATAATTGTCATGGCTGTCGGCACGCGTTTTCCTCATCTAGCCAATGCTTCCCTAAGCCGAACATCGTATTAGTTTAAATAAAAGGTACACACTTTACAATTTTAATTAAATGGATTTTTATAGCACTATGATTCCGCATCTTTGTTACCGAACAACAACGTGCCTCGCAGATCTACAAATAGATGCAGTGAGTTAGATTCTAATTAATCGAAATACCATATATTTTATTAGAAAGTCGTAAACTACCGGGTACGTACAAATTTATAGTATACACGTAAAAGTACAGAATGAAAACTGGCCGCCGGTAAAATAATTAGAGAAGATTAGATTTAATTAATCTAAAGCATTAAATTAATGCGCATCGAGACACACGCCCTATTTTGTTAAAAGTCAATGAAACTATCTCAACATATATTATCACGAAACAATGTTCTTGAGTCGCGACAGTCAGTTAACCATCGTGTTCATTACGGAAGTTCTCGATTTACCGCTTGTGGACAATCTGTTTGCTTTCGTAAAATCGTAGCTTTAAAAAATGCAAAATAATTTGAATTCAATTTCATGAAATTTGACGAATCATACCTACGCTTAATTCGCGAAAATTTCCTATTAAAGTAAACTGGTAATAAATAGGGAAAGATACTTAAAGTAACGCTAAGAAACATATTTGTGAATGAAGCACCAAGGAGTACAAATCGATTGGTCGACGTCGAACGCGTCATTCACAAAACAACGCGTTCCACGCCCGCGCGATAATGTCTAATAAATTATCGTTATCATAATTGCCATCAGAAAAATCGATGATATGGTCGTTGGTAACGTTTTTCATTGCGTCCGACGATTAGCAATATTCCTCGCGCACACGTCGCCGCGTCTCGCACATAATCTCATACGCACGCGCGCGCATTCTTCTGTCAGTCGCAACACAATTACTGCACAATATACTGTCATTAGGACGCGAATCGTAAGGACACTTTCACGTCTCAAAGTCCAACTCTTGGTCCCTCGGCAAGTGCTATTTGCTCTTCGCCCTCCTCGCCTTGATCCCCGTTTTCTTCTTCTTCGGCTTCGGCATGATCTCGCAGCCGCAGCCGCTTCGCACCCTGATGTAGTCCAACGTCCATCCGGATCCGCTCACGGTATTACCGGAAAACGTGGGAAAGCGATAGTGTTCCCTGTGGTGGTGCCTTCTGTGCTGCTCCATTTCAATTCAGGGCAATTAGTACGATAACTTCAGTATTTTCCTTACCATATCTGGCATTTTTAATAATACAGAAATTTTTTGCGAGAAATATTACCTCTAGACGCCCGCCTAGGGTGTAGGGAAGTCCAGGTTTCAACCCTGACTAAGATAATATTTTTCGCAATAAATGTTCTGTATCATTAAAGATGCCAGGTATAGTTAAGAAAATACTGACGTTGTTAATTACTACTGAAGAATATTCTTATTAGTACGATATTTAACATTTCTCGAGAATCTCGCTCGATTATAGACTTGATAATTTTCCAGCGTTACACGAAATTTTTGTTTTTCTAAATAGACTGACAATCGCGAGAAATACTGCACAACCGAAAGAATATGTTTAATAAAAAACCAAACAAATGCCATTCTTGCTAGTGGAATGATGATAGAGGCTACGTTCCGATATTCACTGTCAGTATTGAAATTACATTCTCACTATGGGATGTCGAACTTGCACTGTCTGCTAAATTTTTCAGCATTCAAAATTTGTTTCAATGCGTCTCCCGAGTCAGACGTTATTTCTATAACGTTGTAACTACAATATATCTTCTTACACATGTTTAGCTATTAATTCTATGTATTGCCGATTGATATCAGCGCTTCGTTCACGAGATATCACGAGTGGCGATATTACGTTCTGGGCGATATTAGGTGCCTTTATCCTACTAGTAAAATGTATGATAAAGTTTCAAAAAAACTCTCGTAAAATTCTTCGAAATGCCACGTTGTTCCACGATTGTATGATTTTCAGGATGAATGTAGTGTACGACGTGAACTCTAGATTTTCCGTACTGGAAGTGAATATCAGAAACGCAGCCAGAATCGCGACGTTACGCGATCGTACCTCCGATCCGGGATTCTGGACGATAGCGTACGTGAACGAGTACTTTTGCACGCATCTGGACTGGTTGCTGAACTTCCGGTCGACGAACCTGCACGGCTTGTTGAGAACGTCCGCCCTGCAGGAGTACTCGAAGAACCTCTGGACGTTCTCGCCTTCCTGATAGAGCGGGACGTACATGTCCTCCCGTGTTCGACCGCCACGCGGTTCCACCATTTCCTCTACCGCAGGACAACAGTCGACCGGAAGGCCGTCCTCGCCCCCTTCCTCGCGCAGAACCATCTGCATCTCCCGATACGTCATCCGCTTGTACGGCTCCTCCAGTGGCTCTGTCCTACGAATTGCAACGGCAAACATTTCCCCCGCCTTAATCGACTCCTGCTTTTAATCGGCACCATTTTCTAATCGCACTATTTCCCGCTCGGCTAATGTCTCCCCCGAGAGTGCAGGCAGATGTTACTCACGGAACTTTCGGATTAAATTTTAATCGCCGTCTAATCGCGCATACGATCGTCGTGTTAACAGGCGGCTTAATGGGAAATGTGTGTAAAAATAAAATAATAAAAGCACTCGGTCGCGCCGCGGTGTGTCCCGTTGAATTTAAATCGGATTCAACTTGCCACCGAGGGAAACGCCGATATTCCTCCCATTGCCAATCGCGCTAATAGCTCGTATCTAAATTACAAGGTAGAATGTTGTAGCGGTTTAAAAAGGATCCGCGGGACACGATATTTTACTTCGTTCCGTATACACTATTAGCATTTTATGCACACCGGCGAATAATAATTAAGATAGCGAACTTCGCGCGATTGATAAAATGAATATGCATAAGTAGTGTAATGCGCGCCGTTTCAATCAATCATTTGCAGATATTGTTAAATGAGCCATGATTATCAAATATAACGCGGTATAAGTGGACACTTCAGTACGAGGCTTTGAACTTGACGCGTCGAAAAGACAAAGATTCATTTTAATTTAATGCTCTAATTAAGCAAACTTAACCTTCCGTCACATCTTGTTTTTTTTTACTCACGAGTCAGAGATGTGTCCTTTGAAAGAATGTTCCCTGGGGCTTCGAGAGGAGGATAAAGTTAGATTGTTGGCGGCAGTAAGCCGCGGGCACAGGACTGCGGTCAGCCAAACCACCTGCAACGAGAATCATGTGCGAGAATGCTTAAATCCTTTCTTCGCATGTCTATTATACAATTTTTCTTCGTCGAGTATACAAATTGAAGGCATAAGCTTCAATACCTTACAAGAAACTTACTGATTTTATTATACGTAGTCCTTGCCGCGTGTCATAAACAGTTCCCCGCGCGCCTAGCAACGCCGAACGCGGGACGGCCGCATCTCACCGCGAGCTTGAATTGGGCGCTAAGCCGGGCTAAGACAGCGATTTTTAACAATTAATAACTCGTTAACTATTGCGAAAATTGCAAAATGG